CGCAGTGACGCGGCGACGGCCGCCTCCCTAGTGGTCTGGCCCTCGGCCCCTCCCTCCCGGCCCACCCCGCCCACCCCCGGGCCCAAAAAAGACGATCCACACACAAGCGTCCAGTCACATCCAAGAACTTTATTGGACACGGTTCGACGCCAGGCCTGGTGGGCCCAGTACACTGCCCCGCGGCCCTGGGCGGCCAGGGCTGCAGGAGGGTGGTTCCATCCAACAAGTCTCAGGGCAAACGGTAACCTCACAACTCAACAGTATACCTAAGATTACTATATAGTTGGGAGACGGAGGGCTGCTCCACAGACGTATGAACAGATCAGATCTTTATAAATAAACATCCAGTGAAGAGAAAATGACGACTCTAATTCATCCTTATACACAAAGCACTCTAGGGCAGGTGGGTGGGGGCGGCCAAAGGCCTTGCATCCTCACTGGTCAGGGGCCTGGATGGGTGAATGGTGGGCCCAGATGTCCATGGCACGGGGCGGGCAGGGGCAAGGCTGGGGCAACAGACGATGGGCACTAGGACACTGCGCATTTACAAGACCAACTATTGGGGGGCAGCTGCCCCGTGCATGTGTGTCAGGCTGTTCGTTTTGGAATGAGGAGGGGGTGGTCTTTACATCATATTCTGTGGCTGGTAGGCCCGGAGGGGCTACTTTGTGGAGAGGATGAGGGCAACGATGAGCCCGTAGAGGCCCAGCACCTCAGCGAAGATGAGGATCAGGATCATGCCCACGAATAGCCGGGGCTGCTGGGCAGTGCCCCGCACGCCGGCGTCCCCCACGATACCGATGGCAAAGCCAGCTGCCAGCCCGCTCAGGCCCACGCTCAGGCCGGCGCCCAGCTGAAGGAAACTCCTGGAGGATAGAGTACAGGGACGGATGTCAGCCCACAGGAGGGGAGGGCTGCAGGTACAGGTCACCAGCCACCCACCCAAGGTCCCCTCCCCGCCTGTACAGGGGTGTGGGGAGAACAACCCAGCACTCACCTGTAGAGACTGATGCCGTCATTCAGGGAGTTGGCAATGAGGACTGCCACCACCAGGCCGTAGATGGCGATGATGCCAGCCATGACCACTGGGATGATGGACTTCATGATCAGCTCTGGCCGCATGACAGACATGGCCGCAATGCCGGTGCCACTCTTGGCTGTACCATAGGCAGCACCCAGAGCTGATGGGGAGAAGGTGAGGTGAGCCCAGAGCATCTGGGGCCAGGACCCTGGGAGTAGCTTTTAGCATACGGGAGGGCCATGCAAGATATCACCTGCAAGGGGGAACCTGAGAGCAGCACTCACCCAGCCAGGAGCTTGAGGTGGCCCGCAGGGGAACAGCCATAGCCAGACACTCAAGAAACTCGGTACCCATTTCTTTTCTTCCTCCACCAGAGGCCCTCACGGCTGCCCATCTGGGCTCCTACTCTGCTGTAAAACCCCAACCTGTGCTCAGTAGTTCTCCCCAAGCCTTCTACACAGATCCCATGTTCCCAGGGACCTCAGCACAGCTGCCCTCAACCTAAAAGGTGGAGCTGTGATGGCAGGAGCAGCACCATCACATGGGGAAATAGGCAGCTGGGCCCCAGGAGCCTTGCTGGAGATTCTGGGCCCATTCTATCCCACCTGGACTCCCAGGCACTTTCCCAGGTCAGGAAGGGCTGGGAAAAGCATGAGCTGACTAGCAGCAGCCCAGATGTCTGGCCAGGGTCAGCCCTGGGGCTACATCTGGAGACGACACCCCTCAGAAGATCTACCGCCAGAGGATGGGGGAAGCTGGTCTGGCAATTCTTGTTCTCTCAGACCAGAGCTTCACCAGCCCCCCACCTCACCCCTTGAACTGCGGTCAACTCCTGGCCCTGGGAAAAGGCTGCTCCAAGGGCTGGCGTGTGTGTCAGCAGGCTAAGTGCTCTGCCACAAAAAGGCAGCTCCCAGCACCCTCAGCCAGGTCAGGACCCTTGAGTTTGGAGAGAATCCTCTCTAAATAACCAGAAAAAGGACAAGCCAGAGAGGGCAGGGTACAGGGAAGACGATGGGGCTGTGAAGTCATCACTGAGGCCAAGCACAAAGCTTCAGCAGACCTCTGAGCTCAGCATCTGCTGGAGGCCTCCAGTAATGGGGCAGGAGGGCATGGGGAGGATAGGATTCAAGGCATTTGATGACACTGGTTTCCTCTGCCACTGTCCCTCCTTTCTCTTCCCAGGGTGGGCTGCCTTCCTGAAAGGCTCCCTTCTCCTGGCCTATCTTCCAAGTCTAGAAGGTTTGCAAAGACAACAGAGAGCCACAGGGGGCTCAGGCAGCTCTTCTGACTCCTGTCGCCTGCCCTCAGAGTCCCAATGCACTGGTGTGCAGATGCTGACATGGGTCTGAGGTGGAAGGGGCCAGGACAATCCCAGACATGCCCCTGCATCTTTTACTCACCTCTTTGGGCCACAAAAGATGACTACTCTGTCCTCACCACAGAGCAGGGGTGAGGTCAGAGGGACTCTAAACCCCATGAAGAGACACAGTCCCTCCAATCACAGCAACGCATTCCAGGAGAGTGGGGAGGTCTGGGGAAGGGCTTCCTAAGGGAGGTGATAACTGAGTGGAGGAGTGACAATGAGGTGGTCACAGAAAGACAGGACAAGAGGAAGAGGATTACAGACCACAGAAGCAGAGACACCAACTAAGATGGCGCAAGACAAGGAGCAACTAGAGGGAGGAAGGAGGCAGGGGCTGGGGAAGAAGGACCTGCACTGACTCTTCCACACAGCATCCAGGGGGTGCCCAGACGCTACCACATCTAGACAACCAGCCTTCAGGTGCTGGGACACAGAGCCCGTCTTCATGAAGCCTCTCTTGCATTTTTCTGGCCTCCTACTGCGGACCCAGAATATCAGGCCAATGCCAGGGCTCATTACACAAGGGGAAAGGCACGGGCTGACACGTGGCACTAGGTGGGAACCCATTACAGGGAAGTCAGCATCCCAGCCAGCAGGTCCGGCAAGGCTGGACAGGCTAGTGCCGGGAAGTAAGTTTCTCTACAGAGGGCGGAGAGAGGTCATGTGGCTGGGGGTGGGGAAGAGACAAGAGGAACAAAGGGAAGAAACAAGAAGGACCGCTAGGAGGGAAAAGCAGCCTCCCCGGGGCAGCAGCAGGTGTCCGGGAAGGCCTGGGATGTGAGCTTCAAAGGCCAGGCCTGAAGGGGCTTCAGGTGGAACAGAGGACAGAAACAGAGGAATCAGGAGGCAGTTCCAGGTACATTGCACCAAACACAGGAGGCCCACTGGGACGGAGGAAGTCACAGACAATACAGAAAAGGAGCAAGTGACAGCTTCGAGGAACACATGATGAAGAAAGAAATCTACAGGACTTGGGTCATAAGTTAAGAAAAAAGGTAGTAAGAATTAAAAAAAAAAAAGAAGGCCACTTCTCTTGCTCCCTCATCTCTGGAGATGGCCTGTACTCTACGGACTGTGTGTCTACTTTTACTTTAACCTGAGCACCCACCCCCCAACACCTCATGGCCTTTCTCTTGCCTTCTGAAACAGCCTGCACTCTATGCATTTCTCTAAATAAATTTAACTTTACAAAGAAAGAAAAAAAGGAAGGAAGGAAGGGGAAGCTAGCATGCGATGGAGACTGGGAGGCCTGAGACAGAGGGGGGCCTCATTCTGTTGTAAGAAGACAAATCAGCTAAGTGCTACGTGGGCCAGGAGCAGCGGACAGGGCTTGCTGTCACCCTGACAGTGACACCTGAGCCTGAAAACTGTTCAGAAAGGCACAGGGAGGTAGAAGAGAAGCCTTGGAGAAAGGCTTTAGAGAAAGGAATGAAGTTAGAGGCTGACCCAATTGGCCAACTAAGAAGTTGGCTACCGTAGGGCCATGTTAAGCCCCATGTCAGGAAGGGAGGAGTGGCGCTGCTTACAAGATACAGGAGCAGGTGGTCCCAATTCCCAGGAGCCTGGGGAAAGCAAAAAAGCCCTGGACCAGTGATACCCTGTTATCAGTAAGTTCCGAAGACCCGCTGGTCAGGCTCTGTTCAAAAGTACCAAGTTCTAAAAAGAGAGGCACCTGGTGACCAGAAGGAGGGTTTCGGGGTAAACTGAGCCAGAATTCAGGTTCCATGTGGGCAGGGATCTTGTTTTGTTAACTGATGTCCCCCCAGTGCCTGGTGTGCGGTAGGAGCGCAAATCGAGATGTGAATGTTAAATGACAGACAACACCCACAGGTGGCCCGGCAAAGCAGACTCCCTGGAGGCATTCTGGAGGCAAAGAGCAGAAGGGGCTGGGGGAAAGGGGGCCACAGCAGCCTGCTGGGAGGTGCGGGAGAGTAGGCAGCTTCTGGAGATGTGGAAAGAGTAGGCGTTGCATAGCAAGGAAGGGGAAGTACAGGCCACTTCTCCCACCACAAATGACCCCTTACTCGCACATGATGGGAAGGGCAGGGCTCACTCAGCAGCTTGTGACCAGCAGGCAGGCCCAGACAGAGGGAGGCCCCCAAGCCCCTACCCACTAGTGTTTACAGTCAGCAGAGATTGTTTGGAGTTCCATCCCTGCACATACCTGTATGGGGAGCCTCCCCAACCCACCAGATAGGGTGGGGCAGGGCGAGTCATCAAAGTCCAAAACCAGACCTACTCGAAAAGCCCTGGCCCAGACCAGGCCAGACCAGTCCACGGGTGCTGCAGCTGTGTCAGGACTCACCTCCCTGGGTCCCACAGTTCCTTGACCTGGCCCAAGTACCCTACTCCCAGATAAGCCATTTTCACTGAATTTGACATCCCAAGATTGTTAAGGCCCAACTTCAAAACCAGGTTGCCATCAAGAACCCTGGATGGCCCATTCTGCATTCCCAGGATAGCCCCTCCCAATTCCAGGCCTCAGGGAAGGGGAGGAAGGTCATTCATTCATTCTGGCCTGAACTGAAGACTTCTTCCTACGGAAAAAGACCCCCTCAAAACTGAGGCTTCAAGCAACTTCACCCATCCAGACAAGAGTCCACACACACAGTGCTAAGGCTGGCCCGTCTCCCAGACATCCATCCTGCGCCCTCAGCCTGTCTGCCCGTCCCCCACCCACCAATTCCACTCCCATCTCTGGGTTCCTGCCGGCTCTCAGGACCAAACGCTCAGCCCAGCTTTCCTAACCAACCCACAAAGCCTAGCAAGGGTATTGGGAAACACCGACAAGCCCTAACCGGAAGCAGCTGCCTAGGTGCAGACCCACCTGACCCCCCCCACGGGGTGGGGGGGGCAGGGCGCCACGAGGGCGAGGGCTGTGGTCCTCTGCAGGGAGCTCCAGGGACGGATCCCCTACCGCCCACGGACAGGATCGGCCCCATGTCTGGGGAGCTTTCAGAGGTGTGATGTCACACCTGCCCGCAGGATTGGGGGGCGGGTACAGAGCAAGCGCAGGACCGCGCGCCCCCACCCCAGCCTCGCTCCGGACTCTCCAGGGGCTAAGATGGCAGCGGCGCCGCCGCCCAACCCCCGCACTGACACCTCCAGCTGACTGGGCTGCGGTCCTGGGACCCCCAGGAGACTCTAAGACCCACACCAGGGCCTAGCCCGCAGGCCCTGCGCTCCAGACACCCCACAGCCCCCGCAGCCCCCTCCCCCGCCCGCAGTCACGTGAGGACTGGGACCCCCAACAGCTCGAAATTACGTCACAGTGACGTCACACGCCGAACCCCGGCGAGCCGTGGGCACAAGCCCCACTCGGCCCCCGCCTCCCGGGTCCCTCCTGCCACGGCGCTCACCGCTGAAGATCATGGCGGACGAAGCGCCCATGACCGCGAAAAAAGAAGCGTACTCGGGGCCGTGCTTGGCCTCGGACATGTCTGCGAGTGGGGAGGAGGCGAGCTCAGCGGGTTGAGCTGGGGACGAGGTCGGGCCGGGCAGCGGGCGGCGAGCTGTGCGAAGCGAGCGGTCAGGCGGCT